TGGTGATGGCCTTGAGAATTGAACCAGCACAACCAGAAACGTTGCTGACGCACTGACACAGGATTAATTCTGCTTGAACCACTTGCATCATTCAACTGATTGTGTCAATGCCAAACGAGTGAGCATCCCATCCGTTGTTGACATCAATGAGATTTGCCCCATTTGTACAGTTGAAACTTCGCTCCTCCTCACATGACGTTTGTTTGGCCACCCACACCCGGCCATCACTGGTGTCTGTCAACCCACTTCGTGGCATCAGACCTCATTGCTTTGGATTGGAGTGGGATGAAATAGACTAGAGGGCACTGAATTAATGCGGTGGAGGCACGAGTAGTAATGGAAAACACATTGTAGTGACTAGTGCTGTGGTACTCGTCCTGCCACCTACGTGACACCAGAAGTACCAACATGACATAAATGGATGGGGGAGATGAAAGAGGAGGATGGATGAGGAGGGTCGATGAGGAGGATGGGTTAGGAGAGCATTCTGCCACTTGAGGAGTTGTCACTTTAAGCTGTCAAGGCCTGTTTGCATACGTGTTTGCACCAACTGGAGCACAAAACCATGACTGTTCAGCATTGATGGTGAAATACACCCACCCCTTATCACCTCTCCCATCTCCCCTCTCACCCCAAGCCCTACCATAGGCGGATGACAGAGTGAGATGTCACTGAACCACTGGTCTGACGCCAGTACAGCCTTCCCCACCTCCGATGGACTACACACCAAATTAACAGACTTGTGAGGTCGACTTGAGACGATAAGAGGGAGAAGATATTTGAGGGATTTCAGGCCAACCGAAGGTGAGTGCTTGAACAGGCCTTCGCCGCAGTCCCTCCAATTACTTCTCATTTTCACTTCCTAAGTAAATACAACATTTGTCATCAGAGCACTTTGCAATGATGTGGAACAGGTAAACCCCGCTATCGGCTTTCTCCATACGCCACGCTGATATCGCTCTCTTCCAGCAAACAGGGTCACCTCTCCTCTTCTTCGTTTAATTCGTCAAGTAGAACTGTTGAAGGAGGTCGTTGAAATGCACTCCACAATGTGAATCAGCATTTAGGGTTGCAGTTCGTCCATTCTCTCTGTCCAGCCCCTCTCTCTCTTCTACTCCTTTCGACATACCAACTTCCACATCTACTTCGTGCACTCAACCTTACGCGAACAACCACCACGTGGGCGGTGTATCTTCACCATGTCCACCCAAACAGAACCAGACATGACCAGAGCAAAGGGCGACACCGAAACATCCACATCACCCACACATCGTGGTGAAGGCACAGAACCTACACAAGGGTGGGAAGCTGATGGTCAACGTCGACGTTGCAGTTGTCAGTTTCAGCGTGCAGTCATGTCTGAGTCGCACGCGGACTAGGTCGCTGTACTGTAAGGCTACTCAGCGGGATTGAGGATGTGTCTGCCACACACGATTGGTCGTCTCGCCCCATGTGCACCATCGATGCGTCTGTGTGCATGTGCTCCAACAGTGGACGTGGCAGTGCGATGAGCACCGCCTTCACCTCCTCTCCTTCCTCGCCTTCTTTCTCTACCTCCACACACCTTCCCACTTTCCTTCTCCTCCACCACCCACCACCACGCCTACCTGGTGGTTTCATTTCTCACCTTCTTACCCACTCATCCATTTGCCTGGTCAGCCACTCACTCCCTATTCTCCCTCACTCACCCACTCTCTCACTCACTCACTCACTCGCACACATCTCCTTCGTCTCCCCATGAAGTACTCCCATCTCCTTCGTTCTCATTTTGTTGCCACTTTCCATTTAACTCCCACTGATTCACTTCTTCATCTGCGTCCACTTTCACCTACTACTCCACCTTCATTCCTCCACACTCATCCACCCACCCATCCACCCACCCACCTACTCACTCAATCATCCACCACCTACCCACTCCTTCATCCACTCACACACACAAACATTCACCTTCTTTCTCGACCACTTTCCAACCCTTCCCTCCCATTTGCCCGATTCCCCCCTCCCACACCTTCCCCACCCCCACCCTCATCAATTACTTACTTCCACCGTCATTATAGTACAACAAGCCTGCGTTTCACCGAACATTCATCCATTCTCATTCAATAGAAGTCAGTCCATCCCATCATCAACCTTTTACGGTCGAAAATGCACTCACCATAGTTAATAGTCGGGTAGCGTCGATTCAATCGTTTGCAAATCAAACCATCACAACAGGTCACCTTCCTCAAGTCGCACAGCGAACCAACTATCCTGCATTTTCGCCGACACGACTCAGCCGCATCTGCAATGCATAGAAGACAGATGGCAAGTAAGTCTAACATCCACCAACTTGAACCAATTTCATGCGAAATTCGCACGAGACTCCTCTGACGGGTGACTCACACTTGACCCATCGGTGATTTCTATCTGCCTATGTGACAACACGGTAACGACTCGGTGGCTACTCTGCAACCACACGGACTTCCAGTCATGGACACCCCTCCCACCCAGTACTTGGTCGCCATGCAACTCGCACTTACGACGTCATGGTGATGGAAGGGCCTTTGAGGTCACGTGAATAATCACACAAATGCTGAACATGAGCTAAGACCAAGACACCGGTACTGGCTCTTCAACTGACCTGACCTGACCCGACCCGACATGAACTGAACTGATGCACTGACTCCACGTCTCCACACTGATATCCACCACCTACCCTTGATGTGGGAGGAAGCAAGTATTATAAAATATCACTGAAGCCACCACATTATTCGGTGATCAAGAGGAGGTGTTGTCTTACCGAAAAGGACGGCAGGAAAGAGGAGAAGAGCAGTCAGCAGGAGTGGGGACATTTGGCGGTGGAACCGAAGTTGTACTCTTTCAC